TGGCAGAGTGTCATCCCTGTGTGCATGGCAGACAGTACTCTGTCCCTTTAAAAGGTGATCTCCACCTACTTCTTCCTCTCTCTACATCTCTGTCTCTCTCTCCTTTCCTTCTCTCTCTCTTTATCTCCCCAACAGGTCACTCTGTGCCCCCTTTCTCTCTCCTCTCTTCCTTCCCTTCCCCCAACAAAACTCCCCCATGTAAGCTCCGTCTGCATGGCATGTTTGTCCCTCACAAATCTGTGGTTGGACCCACCTGCCAAGGTCCATCTTGTGCCTTATCATAACAGTGTGTGCCCACAGTGGTCAGAAAAGGGTGTTGGGGTCTTCTGGGGCTGCAGTTACAGTTGGTTTTGAGCTGTCTGACAAGGAACCAAACTCCTGTCCTCTGAAAGAGCAGCAAGCTCTCTGAACTGCTGAGACCTGACACTGACTTTTGATGCAATCAAGAGACTCAGTAAATAAGCAATGTGTGGGACTTCTCCCAGTAAACCTGTAACAAATGTAAGAATCTAAAATGATGATGAAAGTACAGCATAGTAAATATACTACCCACAAGCACTGCCATCTTTATCACCTAATGGAATTCTAGGTCACACGTCCATGTGACAGGTAGAGATGTTCATGGTGGCATCTTACAGATATGGGGTGAGGGGAACATCCTGTGACCTCGTGATGACTAGGACACTAGTAGAGGCATTTTTCAGCTCCTTGTAGTCTTCTGCGTGCCCAGCACGAACTGACACACCCCATGTCTGTGGAGCAGTGTGGAGAATATGGGATTCGTGTGAAACAGCTTCTTCATTCTGCCTAACTGAAATCCTGTTCCTGTTAAGGAATGAATCCCCTTTGGGTCTGCGTTGGCTTGAATAAGAATGGTCCCCAGAGACTCATAGATTTGACTGCTTGGTAACCAGGGAGTGGGTCTACTTGAAAGGACTAGGAGATGTGGCCTTGTTGGAGTAGCTGTACCACTGGGAGTGGGTTCTGAGGCTTTGAGGGTCCAAGCCAAGCCAGTGGCTCACTCTTCCTGCTGCCTGTGGATCCAATGTAGAAATCTCAACTACTTCTTCAGCATTATCTCGGCATGCCACCATGCTCCCAACCATGATGACAATGGACTACACCTTCGAATCTGTAAGCATGCCCCAATAAACGCTTTTCTTTACTAGAGTTGCCATGGTTGTGGTGTCTCTTCATAGCAATAGAACACTGATCAAGACAGAGCCCTTTCCCTAGCTCCTACTAAACACATCTTAGCTTCTTTTCCTGTTGCTGTGATAAAACGCTAATGAATCTCTACTGTGGGTCATAGTTCAAGGACACGGTTCATCATGGTGGAAGTCAAGGTGGCAGGGACTTGAGGCAACTGCTCACATGACATCCACAAGGAGGTAGGTGAACACAAGTGACTATTTAGTTTCAGACCTTACTTTCATTTCTTTGGGATAAAAGCACAGAAGATGATTTGATGTATCCTGTGCTACACATTGACTTTTTATTTAAAAATGTGTTACATATTCAAGGGATATACTATGGGTAGGCACTCAACTATAAACATGATGGTTTAACTTTATGTGTTGAATAGGCCATAAAATACCAGATATTTGGCTAAATATTTTGGAGGGTGATTTTGTCTGAGAAGAGATTAGTATTTAGACTTGGAGCGTGAGCAAAACACATTGCTTTCCCCGATGCAAGTGGACATCATCCAACCTAAATAGAGCAAAAAGATGTGAGGATGTAATTGCTTCTGCCTGACTGGCTGAGTCACTAGTCTCCTGTCCTTGGACCACGTTGTCCATCACTGGCCACTTTGGTTCTTTCTGGACTTAAATTGGAACTGTACCATTAGCTCTTTTGTATTCCAGTTTGCAGATAGGTGATCATGAGACTTCAGATTTCACAACTGCATGAACAAATCCTCTTTATTTCTCTAAAGACAAATAATCAATATCTCTTGCTACTTAATCTCTATTTAAAACAATAAGTCTCTACATTATATATCAAAGTCTATTGAAACGTGAGTTGTAATGACATAAAATGAGGGGCTGCTAAAAATTTGACAATAGTAAAAATCTGAGCATGCTTCAACCAAAAATTAATTTGCAACCAAATTCATAATGAAACGTTTCTGGCAGTTCCTGCTGGTGCTGTACCACATGAATTCACTGCTGCCTTGCTTCTGAACACATGCCATGCACATTTCACATTATGCATGCCATCAGACCACATCATGCCCATAAATGCTGCCCAAAACACCTTGGTTCAGATTCAATACTGTTGTTATTTTATATTATGTATTTATGTGGCGTGGCATTGGCTATTATAAAATCAAAGTATCCATCAATTCTGAAGAACCATGATGATGTTTTACGTTCCATAGTAGCAAATACTCAGTGAACACGTTCATATCATGCAGTATGTTCTGCAGTAGCAAATACTCAATGAACATACCCATATCATTACAATACCCATTTGCTTTCATATTAAACATCTTTAAAAAGTCACTTATTTTATTTGTTGTATGTAAGTGTTTTGTCCGCATGTGTGTGTGTGCACCATGTGTACTCAGGAAGCCCTGGAGATCCAAAAATGGTATCATCTGGAACTGGAATTACCCACAGCACTATACGGTACTGAGGAGCAAACCTAGGTCCTCTGCAAGATAACAAGAGTGATCTTAACTGTCGAGACATCTCTCTGACCCTGTTTTATCTTTAATAAATGGTAAAATGAAGTTCATCAAAGAATTGTTTTAAAGTTGGGGCTAGAGAGATGGCTCAGTTGCTAAGAGCATGCACTGCTTGAATGCTTTGAATGCTTTGCTTCCCAGTATCCCAGGCAGGTTCTCACCACTGCCTATGGGTCACAGAGGGATGATGCCGTCTGTCCTTGATGCTCACCACTGCCTATAGCTCTATATGCAGAGGGATGATGCCGTCTGTCCTTGAGAACCCACACTTACCTGCACACACACAGCCCCTCCCTCCACTTAAAAATAAAACAAAATTAAAAAGAATTGCTTAAAAGTAAATGATTTTTTTTTAAAAAGAAAAGCAAATGTTTGATTTATATTCTTAATCTTTTGTATCTGTATGTCTGGGGATCATGTAAATTGTTCTCAGGTGTAAAGAGGGTTTGTGGAAGACATTTAATAAACTCTACACATGTTGTAATTCCACACTGTACGTAGTGATGCAGAACTTTAATCCAAACAATCAGAAGGCAGAGGCTGAAGGATCAGAAATTCAAGGTCATGCTCTGCTGCCTAGTGAGCTCAAGGCCAGTCTGAACTACAAGAGACTTCATCTCAGAAAATGAAAGAAACAAGCATAACATAATATAATATACCTTTTTAAAAAACCTCCTCTTAGCAGTCACAAGTCACCATGTTCTAGTTGTTAGAAGTAAATCACTAGGCCCAGCTCACATCTGTGACTCTCACGGACATGAGCGTCACAGAGTAAGGTATCAGAGACAGTCTCCGAAGTCATTAACCTCCAGCAGTAACAGGGGGGCAAAAGGAAGAGCGGGGTGGGGAAAGGGAACAGTCATTTGTCCTGGGGACACATGGGGTGAAAAGTGCCCGTGACCGTTCATGCTGAGTTATGGAGTACTTAGTGTCTTTGATGGTCAACCACACAAGCAAGGTATATGAGATCAAGGTGCGATGAGCCAGGTGTGAAATCACAACAGAGCACAGCTCTGCAAAGGAGGAAGGACTCGGGGCAGAGTGGGGTGACTTGAAGGCGTAAGTCACGAAGGGCGTAAGTCACGAACAATGCCACACCAGTTTGGAATTATGATTAATAGGGTGGTATTTATTTAAAGAGGAAAAAACTTACAGATCACCGTCCCAGACAACAGCCCTCTGCACAACCAGGAAGGGAGTCTAGTTGCTGGCGGAGCAGGAAGTGAAGAGAGCAAGCGGAGGAAGTAGCCGTTTTTTTAAAGGGAGAGAAACCACGCCCCAATGGGCTGGTATCTCAGCAGCTATTGGTTGGAGGGGCGGAAGAAACTCCCGCAACAGTGGCTAAGAAGGAGGAGCATGGAAACAGGAAGCAGTAGGTTTCAATGATAGACAAGGCCAGCAGCCCCGAGGAAGTCTGGGAAGCTTCGTGTAGGGGGCGTTCGTGGCTTTAGAAATCCCAAGGCCATACTGGTGGGATAGGTAGGTCTGGATTTCCTGAACGCTTGAGTTGGAAGGTGGAGGTTTGACTGAAGACTGAAGGTCAAGAGTCTAGAAGAATGTTTTGTGCTGCCTCTTCTCTGAGTCTGATATGACCTTGAAAAAGGTGTTTCTCTGAGACGGACAGGAAATTCCCATTCTTCCGTCTGCCATTGAAGAAAAGGCTAAACCGTGAGCCGCGTGCATGGGACTTCACACAGGTACAAGCGGTCTCCATTTCTTGAACATGTACTTGTTCCTGGGAGCTCTAAAAATGGAATTCTATTTTCACAGTTGCAGATCACATGAAATGCATTACCCATCAGCAGGCTCATAAATATTCAGCCATTGTACCTTTCCCCAAACAGCCAGAAATTTATTCATTATATTGAATTGCAGTCTCACCCTCCCTTCCAGCGCCTTTGTAAGGAGAACGATAATATTTAGGCAGTTTTTGCAACACCCCAGCCTTGAGGGAATGTAAACATAAGCATAATTGATTTTCTGAACTTGCCTTGCCCCGCCCTGTGTTCCAGGGTTGTATGCATCATGGGTAGAATGACTGACAAATCAGCCCTGATTGCTAATTAGGAAGCAGAATATATTAAAAGCCTGGCCCATCTATCCAGCCTGCTCACAGTGCAAGCTGGAAGCCTGAGGCCTCTCAATGCTCTAGGGCTTGTTTAATTATCTACTTTTTTTTTTTTTTTTTTTTTTTTTTTTTTTTTTTTTTTTTTTTTTTTTTTGCTTTGATCCGCCTACTCAGGAATTACACAGCCAAGTCTGACAGGTCAGAGATGTTATATATTAAGTGGTGGGCTCGCTTGCTCCACCTTGACTCATCTTTCCTTCCCTTCCTCCCACTGAAGTGGCATTCTTCTGCAGAAAGCATTTCTTCCCACCATGCACCGGCGGAATAATGAAGGCTGCTGCTCTTATCCCTGTTTGAAGCCCAAATGTGCGAGGTAATTTTACTTCAAGGATTGGTGGAATAGGAATTCCATCCTCTGTTTTTTTTTTTTTTCTGACTCCAGAATAAAGAGGTCTTTTTGTATCGGAGCCCCTAATGGCAAGGCAAGACCCCTGGGGTTCCCATTCTTCCCAGCAGCACCTCAGCAATCAGCCTCTGGCCCCAAAGGCGAGGCCATCTTTGCCTTTGTGTCTGAAATGAGAGTTCACCACTCATCCCGGGAAATCGGTAGGCACCTGCAGACTGAAGGGGAAAATTGATTTCTTTTCACCTTGTCACCGATCTGAATGTCACCTCAGAGACTCCCAGAATTTAATTGATCTATGACAAGTTCATGGCAACCACATCCCCCTCTTGAATAATAAGAATATTAATGAGGTTGAAGGTAATTGGCAACCCTGAGGTGGGGGGATCTGCTTCTGTTGTGGAGATCTCTCCATGAAGTGTGTGAGTAGATCTCAAGTAGATCACAACTAGCTTCACTTAGTCTTCCGGAGGTGGCGTGGAAGCATCCAGGAAGGCTAACTCGCAATATTTGTGTGTTTTGTACTCCAAAGCAGGCACTTTCCTAAGACTGAGACCAGCAATAGCTACTGCCGACCAGATGGAAGGCTGAAGTTTGGACAGATGAAATGAATTCTGAGTTCCACCAAGAGGCTTTGTCCTCATGACAAATAGAGAGGTAAAGCCATTCATTTGTGCGCTGATGGGACATTTGTTATATATCCATTCTGCATGGCTCAATTACTCAGTAGACAAATTAGGCATGCTTGTGGGGCTTTGCAAAACAGGGCATTATATTGCCTGCAACTTAGATTAAATTCATTCAGCATGGAAAGTATGATCCATGTGTGTGTGTGTAGCTAGCCTAACTCACCTCCAGGGCCAGCTTGCTAATATTTAAAGTATCCTAATCAGAAACACATCCTCCAGGGGAGGTTAGTTAGCATTTGAAAGACTCTAAATCAGGTACCTACTGTCAATATAGATCTCTCACTCTTCTCAATTAGCACTAGAGGGCTTATTAAGGAGCCTGAGGGATGCCAGCAATAATTTTAAATTAGTCAAATAAGCAATATATTGGCTAGAAATCTGGCAACAGTGCCCTTGCATGATGAGTGTCTAAAAATCTAGGATGCTCTTGACCTAGAATTCTGTTGTCTTTATAGGAAAAGCCAACTCCTGTTGCTGAGATATCATTGTGTTTACCTTGAGTGAGCCTGTCATGCCAGGTGCCTGCAGTACTCCGAAGGACAAGGAAAGCATGATTCGTGGGACCCAGTGTGGATGGGTGGGAACTTTAAAAACAGAGAAGAAATGGATGCGAAGAGTAAGGCCATGGGAAGACAGCATTTGAGGAGAGAGTTATGAGGACGTCTTCCAAGGAACCAGATTCTCATAGCTTACTAAAACCATAGAGCAGGAGAAGTTTTCATGGGGGAGATTGGAGATTTCAGTTGCTTCTTCTGAAAAAAAAAAAAAAAAAAAAAAAAAAAAAACTGAAATATTTAAAGATATTGACTGGAGAGATGGCTTTGTGATTAGGAGCAGCAGTTTCTCTTCTAGAGGGCCCAGGTTTGATCCCACAACTGTCTGTAACTCTAGTCCTAGGGGACCCCGTGCCCTCCGCTGTTCTCCGTGGTCACGTGCACACATACACGTTTTTTAAAGGGAAAGTATTGGGCAGTAGTGGTGCAGGCCTTCAATCCCATCACTGGCGAGACAGAGACAGACAGATCTCTGTGAGTTTGAGGCAGCCTGGTCTACAGAGCGAGTTTACGACAGCCAGGGAGGGCTACATAAAGAAAACCTGTCTCAAAAAATGAAACAAAAAATTAAAAGCAAAAAGCAAGATTATTTATTTATACATCGTGGTGGTTTCATCTCGGGCATCTGCATACTTGGTACCCAGTTGGTGACACACTGGTAGGTTTAGCTGGTGTCACTAGGGTCGGGATGGAGGTTTCACAAGCCATGCATTCCTTCCAGTATGCTTCTTTTGCTTGATGCTGTGTGGTTGGTGGTCCCTGGTCAGCTAAGCTGTGGTCGGCGGTCCCTGGTCAGATACGCTGTGGTTGGTGGTCCCTGGTTAGCAGACATGCCTGGGGCTTGCTTCAGTGCACTCCCCTGTGCAGACGGTTGACTCTTTTCCCTCTGCGAAGCTGCCGTGGTCATAGTGTTTTGTTACAACAATTCAAAAAGAAGTGGCACATACATATACACAAGCATGTGTGTAAATACAATATGTACATATAAGCATGTTATACATGCTATCTGGGGCTAAAGAAAGAAACCTAGACACATACACTTAATGCATTCAGCAAACACGCCAGACATTTTCTATGCTCCAGATCAAAATTAGCGTAAATCTCGCTTCCAATGTGATTTCAGTATTTGGCAGATATAGACTAATGGGAACATTTGAAGTAGTGAGGATGGAGTCATTTATGGAGGTTGTAGAATTTCGTATTTGGGAGCAGGATCTTGTGGATAACTAACATCTTGGATGCAGGAGGAAGAAGGATAAATAAAATCACTAACAGATAAAAATGGGGAAGATTAGAAAAAATAATTAAAGAATTGTGGCAGGGTAGAAAAGCAGGTAAATGTGGGGGGCATGCGAGGAGAAAGGAGCCCCTCTGCCTGGAGGTTGTTTGAAGTCTTTCACCAGAAGGGAGGCAGGAAATTTTAGCTCTCTCCCTTCCCAGCAGGAGGCCTGCAGTGTTCTTGAGATCGCACCAGAAACCCATTTACAGGGAAAGGATGCATATTAAAGCCCTTGTACCATTCACGCGGCTCCCGGATAGAGAAATCATACTTCATCAGAGTATGAGTCTATCCAAGGCGTCTACTGAGCCACCCAATAGCCTCACTCATCAAAAGAAAGTAAAAAATAGGGACTGGGGAGATGGCTCAGTGGTTAAGAGCATTTACTGCTCTTACAGACCTGGGTTTGGTTCTTAGAATCCACACGGTGGCTCACGACTGCTAGTAACTCCAGTGCTGGATGCTCTGGGGTCCTCCTTTGCCCTCGTGGTGCACATACACACACCCAGGCACATGCACGTAAAATAAACAAATGAATATTAAGAGAGAAAGAGATAGGAAGATACAGAGAGAGACAGACAGACACATACACAGAGGGAGAGAGAGAAAAGAAAATGGTTTTCTTAATCATCTTTTACGATGTAAAGGGTCAGCAAGATGACCCGTGCACACATAGAGAACAGTGCAGAACTGAAAAACTATGCAGCTCAGGGACCACCAATACGGTGCAGAAAGTTCATGCTGGGACAATTGATTGTGACTCTCTTGAGGAGACTGCACCTTAGGTGCTTTGAAAGAAAATGGCCTCCTATGGGAGTGGCACTGTTGGGAGGTGTGGCCTTGCTGGAGGAAGTGTGTCACTGTAGAGGCTGACTTTGAGGTCTCATGTATGCTCAAGCCATTCCTAGTGAGACAGACCACTTCCTGCTGCCTGTGGATCAAGATATAAGAACTCTGAGCTGCTCCAGCACTGTGTCTGCCTGCTTGCTGCTATGCTTTCTGCCTTGGTGATAATGGACTAAACTTCTGAACTGTAAGTTGCCACCCCATTGGATGTTTTCCTTTATAAAATTGCCATGGTCGTAGTGTTTCTTCATGGCAATGGAAACCCTAACTACGACATGCCTACATATCTTATTCTTTGCAACTCCCCCCCCCCACCCCAGACTCACTTTCCTTTTGGAAATGACACTTGCACACGGGTAAGTCATACTCTCCACAGCTCAGTGTGTCCTTCTGGAGGCTTCTTTTCCTTCTAACTGCCTAATGAAATAAAATGCTCTAGCTTTGCTCCTAAGGGTCTGGGACAGAAATTATTTTCTGTGCCAAAGCAATAGTCAAGATACGGCTTGTGTTGAGGTCTCTGAAAGATGAGGGGGACACCTTAGGTTGTAGAGGATGACAGAATGGAGCTAGGCTGCTGTCGCTTTTCTGCAGACATAGTGATAATGAAGATGTCAGTGAATACGGATGTTCCGAAGAGTGGACAGTGAGTGGTGTCAAATATTGCACAAACCAAATAAAACAAGGAATTCAAACATCTATTTAAGGTGACTCATTGGCATATGCAGGAGACACTGAGTGAATAAATTGAGTCTTTAGTTTGAAAGATGAGGAATGAGGAGGGGAAAAGAAAGAACAGAGCAGAAATGAATACTTAAAGAGCATAAATAGAGAGGCAGCAGAGACTTAGATATAGAGCTTTGGAGAAAGAGTTGGCGACACTCTGCTTTCTATAGCAAAGGCATAAAACTACAAAACTGATTTTCATGGGTTAGGGAGATGGCTCATTTGGTAAGTGTTCACCTTATAAATGTAAGGACATGAGCTTGATCCTAGAACCTATCTAAAAACAGCCCAGGTCTGTCCTTGCACTCACAGTGCTGGGAAGGTGTGTCCTTGCACTCACACCCGGGGCTGGGAAGGTGTGTCCTTGTGCTCACTGCTCTGCTGGGAAGGCGGAGCCTTGCAGATCCTTGGGATGTCGTCTTACCTCCACTGGACAGCCAGCTCAGCCTACCCGACAAATATCAAGTCAAAACCAAGTGGAACAGTTTCCAAGGTTGAGCTGTGGCCTCTCCACTTAGAAGCACACACATGAATGTGCACATATGTGTGTGTGTCTCTACACATACACGGAGGGAGGGGGAGACTTTCTGAGCAATGAAGTAGGGTAAACGATCCAAAAGAAATTCTGAAATAGTAAGGGAGACATTGTTAAAAATGATTCATTTCAAACCTCTTTTACTTAAAGGGAGACAGTGCCCTGTGACCGTATAAGTGTGTAGTGGGGTATGAACTGTAGAATGCTGACTTCTGTAGTTCAGGGCAATGGTGGAGAGCCAGGCAGACAGAGGGCTTCCTGTGAACCTCCTGCTGAAGGGAAGCCAGAGGAGAGGGCCATGACCAGAGAGACCGCTGTCTGTGCTACAGTTCCGACAGGCCACTTTAGATAGGACGCGGTTCCAGGAATGACATTACACTTGGGGTGAGTCAGCATCTCTGGGGCTGTCACCGTTTTACTGGAAGTGCCACCTTATCTTCATGAACAATTGCTTTCAGGAAATATGATGGGAAAAATTTCAAAGCTCTAACTTCTGTACATTTATTCTTAGGTTTTCCAATCTCTTCTTTGGGGCTTTTCATCGGCAAGCATTGTTTTTAGTAGAGAAGCGCATGTGGCGTCTGTGGGCAATTAATTATAAAGCTGCCAAATTCCATCCCAGACCAAAGGTGAGGCACACGCCAGTCTGGAGCCAAAAAGGATGGTTTTTAAGGTCAGATAGGCTTGGGGAGAAGTTCCAAATGGTCTTCATTATCTGTGCAGCCTTGGGCAAGTTATTTAGTCTTTTTGAGATTCAATTCCTATAGCTGTATAATCAGAGAAAAACAGCGTTACAGGACTGCTGTGAACTAGTTTGATTACGTGCATGCGTGTGCATATATACATAAGCACACACTTTTTACAGTAAGTTAGTGTGGTAGTTTGAATAAAAATGGGCCCCATAGGCCCATAGGGAGTGGCACTATTAGGAAGTGTGGCCTTGTTGTAGTAGGTGTGACTTGGTTGGAGGAAGAGTGTCAATGGGGCACTTTTTGAGGTCTCAGATGCTCAAGTCATCCATGCTCAGTGTGGCATTATCTTCCTTCTGCCTGTGGATCAAGATGTAGAACTCTCAGCACCTTCTCCAGCACTGTATCTTACTGCGTACTGCCATGCTTCTCACCATGATGGTAACCAACTAAACCCTTGAATTCTAAGCCAGTCCCAATGTTTTCCTTTATAAGAGTTGCCATAGTCACTGTACCTAATCACGGCAATAAAACCCTAAGACAGAAGTTGGTACCAGGGACTGCGGTATCGTTGTGATAAGACTCTGTCTCATGGTTATTGGTGCTAACTCTAATGAAAATTTATAATGAAGAGGAGAAAGCTGAGCAAGAAAAATACAAAATGTACAATTTAAGGAGAAAAGGAGCATCAGGAAGTGAGATGGAGCTAAATTCCGTGTTCAAGGAGATAAACAGATTAAGAAATGGAATAAAGGGAGTGGTGACCTCAGGGCAAGATCCCACCCAGGTAAACTTCCAGTTTGTGAAAATTTCAGAGATGGGTGTGGTGGTTAATGTGCACACCTTTAATCCCAGCACTCTGGAGGCAGAGGCAGACAGATCTCTAAATCTGAGGCAGCCTGATCTACAGAGCGAGTTCCAGGACAGCCTAGCTTAGACATTGAAGGTAATCATCTAAACCAACCAGAAAGCTGGTGTAGTTGAACAAGGGGCCATGTTCCAGCCCCAGAAAACAGCTTTGCTTGCAAAACTCTGCAGCTTGGGCCATGTGGTTCTAGATTTAGAGTGAAGGATAGAAGGAAGGTGGATTGGAATC